ACAAGTACTGTTTGTGTGCCTGAGAAATGTCTGGGAAGATGCAGAATTACATGCATAAAAAGAATTAATCCATCTTTTGCCATGATTGTGTTCAGAAGCTGATTTTCAAAGACAGTTTCAATTTTCCTAGCTGTCTGGGTGACAGTTAGATGTGTACAACTTATGCACACTCATCCCTCTCTTGTATGTAGTCTGCCCAATTTAATTTGCTTAGATTCTATAGGCTTTTTTTTTGATTGCTCGTTATAAGTTTAGCCTAGTGTTGAGAGCCTAGGGGTATGAGAGACATCATTAGCCAGAAATTTCTTCTCTAGCTGGACTAATAAGTCTTATACCCAAGAGTCGGTGAACAGAATGATCTGTTCACTGGGGGTTGCTGAGTGAATTGGTGTGATTGCCAGGATTTCTGCCCCAGGCTGAGAGATCTGGATAGATGGATGCTGAAGATGCTTCTCCAGGAAGGCTTTTGGAAGAGTCTGCATTGGAGATGAGCCAGTGTGGAGATGCAGGGGGAGGGGCAGATCAGCAGGTGAACTCAGTGTGGGAATTTGACTTGAGCTAACTTTTCAGTCTCATCCTCAGCCCATTGTTCTCCTGCCTTAATAATGAAAACATTTCTTCAGTGGAAAAGGTGCTAGCAGGCCTCTGGGCTTTTGCTTGTGCTATTCCCTTTGCTTAGCTGATCCACTGCCCCACTCCATCCATCAATAAAACTCCTAGTTGTCTTTCAATTCAAGTGTTCTTCTGCTGTTCTGACCTCATGACTTTCCCTCTCCTCTTCTCATAGTGTTTTGTCTATGTAGTTATCCTTCAGCACCCCATGAGGATTGGTTCCAGGACATCCACTGCAGATAACAAAATCCATGGATGTTCAAGTCCTTTATATAAAATGGTATAATGTTTGCATATAACCTATGCATAGCCTCTTGTATACTTCAAATTATCTCCACGTTACTTACAATACCTAATACAGCATAAATGCTATGTAAATAGTTGTTATACTGTATTGTTTAGGGAATAATGACAAGAAAAATAGCCTGTACATGTTCAGTATAGACACAACCATACATCTTTTCCCCAAATATTTTCAGTTCAAGGTTGGTTGAATCCACGGATGCAAAAGCCACAGATATGAAGGGCTGACTGTACTTCTGTTTTAGTATGTTACCTGGAGCATAACAGACACCCAAGGGATATCACCTGAATGAATGAATAATTGAATAAATGACTGATTATTAGGTTCTGTGTTTGACTCACCTTCTGGAACTGTGAAATGTTTCCTGAGAGAGGAGTGGAGGGCACTGAGGGGAAAATGTGGGTGGCAGATTCAGAGCAAGGAGACCACTGGGCTGCCCTTGGTGGTGGGGTGGGGGAGACACCCTTTGGAGGGGGTGTAAGACATTGACTTTTTATTGCTTTGTTTATTTTTACTTTAAGTTCCAGGATACATGTGCAGAATGTATGCATTTGTTACATAGGTAGACATGTCCATGGTGGTTTGCTGCACCTATCAACCCATCACCTAGGTTTTAAGCCCCACATGCATTAGCTGTTTGTCTTGATGCTCTCCCTCCCCTCACCTCATCCTCCACAGGCCCCGGTGTGTGTTGTTCCCCTCTCTGTGTCCATGTGTTCTCATTGTTCAACTCCCACTTATGAGTGAGAACATGCAGTGTTTGGTTTTCTGTTCCTGTGTTAGTTTGCTGAGGATGGTTTCCAGCTTCATCCAAGGACATAGACTTCTTGTTGAATAGAAGCACACGGTAAAAATATACTCTAAGATATACTACAGACATTAAACATTGGGGGGAAAACCTGACTCTGGAATAATCAAAGAACTACAAATAAAAGCAGCAATAAAAGCAAGGAAAAGAACTGCAAACAGAAGCCCCTTTATAAATCTAATAAATTAGGGGTGACTGAGTAATTGGGGGAAGTAGCTTTCCTACTGACCGAGGGAGCACCATTGGGATAGCCTTTCTGGAGGGCAATTTGGCTATATCAAAAGCCTTAAAAACTTGTACATAATCTTTCACCCAGCAGTGCCATTCCTAGGGATTTATCCTGAGAGAATAATTAGATGTATTATCAGACATGTTTATCTCAACATATTTGTAGTACAGACATCGAAAATAAACCAAATAGCCAGCAACAGGGGCTTAGCTTTAAAAAAATGGCACTCTTATCTATAGCAAATAAAAAATAAAGTTGTAGAATAATAAAGACACAGGGAAATGTTTACAGTGTGTTTTCAGTTGAGAAACCAGCATATATGTTAAGTTCCCAATTATGTTGAAAATGTATATTTTCACACAAAAAGACTAGAAGAGTAATTAGCAACTTGTAGCTTTTAGTGGACAATTTTTATTCTCTCTAAAAAAGTAAACTTTCAAAATCTTCTATGCACATGTATTACTTTTATAAGAGGCGGGGGATAAGTGTCAATTAGGAAAAAGAGATAAGCTTTTGGAGAGTATTGTTTGAGCTTCACTAGGTGGAAAACTAGATGGGCACATCATTTATCTTGCAAATTCCAGACAAGTGGTGTTTTCAGAAGGAAGAGTGGTCTTAGGTCCATTTGTGTGAATATATTTATAGAAGTGAAAGCTTTGGGGGAAGGAAATAGATTGATTTTTTTTCCCCTTGAACTTTTGAAATTATTTTTTCCACTCCATTTGTAATTGAGCCCAGGGAGCTATTCTTATTTCTTCCTTTCTTGGGCACTGCGTTAGACCTAAAAATGTTAACTGGCTTAGGATGTGGGTTTTGCTAAAATGATTCCCCTTGAAGTCTTCACTGGGCTTTCTCAGGTTTAAAAGTGGGGTCCCACAGAAGATTACTTTCTATCTAATGCATTTTGCTCCTGAATTCTTTGGCACCGTTGGGGTGGTGAGAAACGACTCCTGCCTTATGGTTGTGGACCCCATCGGCCCCATGTGAGTGGCTCAGGAGTCTGCACTTGTGCTGGGCACTGTCTGTTGGAGAGGTTTATTTAGGGGCCAATCTGGCATCACCTTATCCTGTGGACGTAACATTAGTCTGCAGAAAAAGAGATCAGAGCTGGGTAGAATCTCTTTAAATATTAATGATAGTGATGCCTTTTGCCACACATCTCCAAAGAGCTCTGAGCATTTCAGACATTACCTCATTGTTAATTTTCACAGTGTTCTTGGGTGAGAAGCTGATGGCAAGTATTCTCTGGTCTCCATGTGGGGCAGAGCGTAGCAAATTTTAGGTAGGTAGTAGTAGTTCTCCTGACTAGATATCAATTGGTAAAAGAAAATGGGGGCATTTTGGGGGCATCTTCTTCACAGTTATTCTGTATTACTCAGAAATTAAATTGCCTTCCTGCATTTTGCCCCACTAACATTTATTGAATGTATACTGTGAGCAAGTCACAATGCTGAGTACTGTGGCTAGAAGTGAAATGTAAATGTCCTTAGTTCCACACTCAAGGCCTTTGGTGGTCTGGCTACTGCCGCTCTCACTCCGATACCTCCATCCTACTTCACGTAATTCTTATGCATCACCACCTTCATGCCAACCTGAAACTTTGGTCTTCAGGGTAGCCTTGTGCCATCTCACTTCTGTGTACTTTATGCCCTTCCCCAGGCACTGCTCCAATTGCCTTTCTCTCCACCCCAGCGGGTCCTTCATGCTCAGCTCACCTCCTGCACAAAGTCTTTCCTGCTAGCTCACTCTGCTTTATCCACAGCTGGATGGGATCTCCTGCTATCAAACTCTCAGGCATCCCACTCACCTCTCTGCACTGGTCCTTACTCTTTTTTACTTTGTATGTTAGTGATTTATGTGTGCTCTTTGATGATTTTTCAAGCTTCTTGACTGTAGAGATGTGCAAATACTCATTGCATAAAAGAATGAAATGGGCATTTCAGGCTAGTGGTCACCAGTTTGTGCCTTGCCTTCTAAGATACAGAGTCACTGATAGAATCCTACTTGGCCTCCCTCTCCTTTGATCCTTCTCACTGAGGCCCTTTGCTGCCTCCCAGTCAGTTCTGTCCTCCCCTTGCATCAGTGCCCACACCATCTTTCAGTTAGTAGCTGTGTATTGAAAAGTATTCCTCACTTACGGTGTTCTGGGGAGGCATGGGAAAAGAGAGACAATTGGAGCATGCTTTTTTTTTTTTTTTTTTTTTTTGAGACAGGATCTTGCTGTGTCACCCAGGCTGGAGTGCAGTGGCATGAGCTTGGCTCACTGCAACCACCTCTACCCCAGGCTCACGCGATCCTGTCACCTCAGCTTCCCAAGTAGCTGGGACCACAAGTGTGCACCATCAAATCCAGCTATTTTCTTGTATTTTTAGAAGAGACAGGGTCTCACCATATTGGCCAGGCTGGTCTAGAACTCCTGACCTCAAAAGATCCGCCCACCTCAGCCTCCCAAAGTGCTGGGATTACAGGCCTGTGCCACTGCACCTGACCTGGAGCAGTTTTAGATAACCCCTGGGCTGGGCACGATGGCTCACTCCTGTAATCCCAGCACTTTGAGAGGCTGCAGTGGGTGGATCACTTGAAGCCAAGAGTTTGAGACTAGCCTGGCCAACATAGTGAGATCCTGTCTCTACTAAAAATTAAAAAAAAAATTAGCCAGGCATGGTGGCACACACCTGTAATCCCAGCTGTTTGGGAGCCCGAGGCACAAAATTTGCTTGAACCTGGAAGGCAGTGGCGAAGGCAAAGATGAGATGCGATCACACTTTTGCACTCCAGCCTGGGTGACAGAGAGAGACTCTGTCTCAAAAAAAAAAAAAAAAAAAAAAAAGAAGGCTACCCCTGTGCTTATTTCTTTTTCAACCTCTGAAATGCAAACCACCCACACTGCATGGGATCCTAAAATTGCAAAGGGCTTTATCCAGAGTATTCTTTGTCCATGAGCTGGCACCAGGGCTGGAACTGTCTTGTGCTCCACCTGTGTGAGGCTGGGCAGGTTATTTAATCTTCCTCTGGCATCATTTCCCCATCTGTTAAGGGGGGATAATGTGCTTGGAGGTGACCTACCTCCCTAGGATGCTGTGAGGCTTAGTGAGCTAATGCCATTGCTATTGACTTCAACTGAAGACGACTGAGCAGAACTAGCTGGAGACCAAGTATTACGTGGCACAGAATCAACTCTACAACTATAAAATGGATGCATCATGTGGGTGTCATCTTCTATGTTGCCCTTGGCACAGAGGAAGCCGGTTTGCCAATCAAGGACCTCTAGGGTTTCCTGTCTTGACTGGTTCAAGTGGTTGAGGTCTTGAGGATGAGAATGGGATCTGCAGGACTCCTGTGCCTGTCGTGCTGAAAGGAGAGAAGCCAGACACGTGTTGAAAGGCATAACTGCAGCTGCCCAGTATCTGCAGATGAGGAGGGTCACGGTCCTGTGAGGAGGGGGCCTGTGCCACAGAGATACCACCCAACTTTGCCCACATGGCCTGGCGGTCAGTTTTGCTTGAGCTTATTGATGAGCTATGGGAAGGTCATTTGATATTCACATTCTTGTGGCCGCAATCTTGGGAATGTGGCCGTTTATCTTTAAAAATAGCTGTGTGCTGGGAGGCCCAGAAACAGTGTCCTGGGATGGAGGGGAGGTGCCAGCAGGGGAAAGATGTGCAAATTTCTTTCCATGGAAGAGTCCCTTCAGCTCTGCGCCACGGGTGAGTTGGTGTTTTCTGATTCTGTAACGTGTGCTGCTTTCCCTAGACTGTTCTTGGAAAGGGAGCTGTTTTGGTTCTTTTCAATTGTGATATCCTCTCCATATCTTAAAAAAATCTGTTTCCATGGTATGTTTGTTCTTCAGCACGTATCCTTTATGAAACCTGTTTGAGTGAGATTCTTTCAACCTTCATAATTGCAATTTATTTATTATGGGCTCTCCTTAAATTTAACTGGTAATTATTTCTCACATTGGCTTTGTGTTTTCAAAAGGCAGTATCCTTAATCATTTTATATTTAATTAAGATAATCATTAAATGCGTTTGGAACTAAATTGCCAACAGGTTTTCAAAATTGGGGGATCATGGGATGTGAGACCCCAGACTAGAGACTTTCAGGTTGAATAAGTCTTTGTTTTAGGTGGTGTCCTGAGAGGATAATGGGTGGTCTTTTGTCACACAGCTAACTAGTGACAGAATCACATTTGCACCCAGGTCCCCTAACCTCCTTGTCCATGCCTCTCTGGTCAGCTCTGTAGAATTTAACCTCTGAATTACAAGTGAGTGAGAAGGGAAAAAAAAAAAACACTATTTAATTTAACTTTTCTGTATGCCTTAATTTAATTAAAGTGAATCTTCTAGTTTTAGAAATGGCTATGTTATATACCGCAGCTGATCCCTTGACCTTGACTTGCTTGATTCATTTGATGATCTGCACTGATGATTCTTCAAGGGTGATTCCCATCTGTATTCCCCGACAGCTTGTGAGAAATGTGAACTCTCAGCCTCACCCCAGACCTATAGAAACTCTGGGGGTGGGGCCCAGCAATCTGTGTTTTAACAAGTCCTCCAGGTGCTCAGATAGGCAGTGACGTTAGAGAACCACTGCCTGCCATGGCCTAAGTCAGACTCTCCATGTGTTTGACACCCAGGGCAGTGATCCACTTTGTCTCTTTTGTGGATTCCGAGTTTTCTTTACCGAAGAGAGTTTCTCTGTTGCTGCTGCCAGCTTTGAATGATGACTCCATTTCTCTACTCTGCTTCTCTGCATTACCACTATACACACATACCTAGCAGGACTGAAAGATAGGTGGGCCAATAATGAAAGTAAATAGGGGATTTCAACAGAAACAGGTTTGCAGATAGAAAAAAAAGTCTCAACCACTGAGGTATGTTTTCCATGTTTAAAACTTGCTACTTCTCTAAGCACAGTGATAAATTAGACTGTGTCTAACTGTATTGTACTGGGTTTTCCATCATTTGTTATTTTATTCATTCTGCAGATTTTTTTGTACCTTGTATTTGCATGGTACATGTTAAGTGTTGCGGGAGAGGTACTTGAGTTTATCAGGAGGTAGAGAACATGTTCAAAAATAACTATAATACAAGATAGCCAGTGTTTAATACATGAGAATCATCTTTTATAGTAAAAGGGTTGTGGAAGCCTAGAGGTGGTAGAGAGCATGTGTGAGGGAGGAGGACATCAGGGAAGACCTCATGAAGACAGCAGCATTTGGGCGAAGCTTAAAAGGAGGTGGAATTTGACACTGAGAGTTTGGGGGTGGGTAAAGAACATTCTAGGCAAAGGTGCAAGAAGATCAAAGCATGGCGGGAGGCTCAGTGCAATTTGTGAGGGTAGGGGTTATGTGAAGATGATTAGAAAGAAATGAGGCCATGTAAGTAGGTCAGTGTCAAAAGGAGAAGAATCTTCAAATACTCACTTAGGAGTTTGTTCTTTATCCTGAAGGCAATGGGGAGCCGTTGAAGGGTTTTGAATAAGGGGGAGGTATGACCAAGCTGTGCTTTCAGTAAAGCTAATCTGCCATCAGCGTCTGAAGTAGATTGAAGTACGTGAGAGGGAGACTTTTGTTGTTTTTATTTTGTAACTGTTTTGCAGCAGTTTGTTGATAGATTGAAAAATTGTCTTAATGTTTAATTGGGAGGTAATTGCCTTTCTTCTTATAATCATTGGATTTTCAAATAAGCATCCAGGACCTAGATTATTGTCTGGGGAATGCAGCTGTAATGTTATAATGGGGAATCTACAGGAAAATGAAAATCGCTTAACAGAATGGCTTTGTAGGAAACTTCCAGAACTAATTTCTCCCTTCTTTTCTTTTTAACGTTTTCTTTTAAACAAAATGTATTTATTTTCATTTTATCCAGTAATGACCTGGTAATGCTAGATCACATAAAATCTACAAGTATCAAGCAAAGCCTGTTGATCACCTAAAGGCTCTTCCTTACCTTTTCCCACTCAGCCTCCGGAGCTGTTTTCCCTCTCACTCAAGGACTTACTTTGTTAAAGTGCCTAAATCAAACTCATTTTGCAAGGATCTGCCTTACTTCAGTGATGGCTCTAATGGGAATAGCTGTAGGAAACTTGAATGTCATGAATTTTTAAATATGTTGTTACTTCTAGTATTTGTAGTAGAGAAATCAACAGCTCTGTTGCTGTTGATTTTTTCACTAGGGCTGTCTTTATAGGCTTGGGCTTTGGCTAGTTAGCACCATTGATTTTAGTCATTCAATCAGTATTTAGTGAACATCTCTTAGGAACTGAAAAATCATGGTAAATCAGAAAACCATGGCCCTGCTCAATGTGGAACTTATATTCTAGCAGGGGATATATAGAAGTAAACAGTCAAATATAGTCTGAGAGAGGGAAAATACTGGGTACTGTGAGAGCACCGACCCAGAGTAGAGGTCAGAGAAGACTTAACAAGTAGGATATAAACTGAGACCTAAAAACTAACTGGGGGCCAGGCACGGTGGCTCACACCTGTAATCCCAGTACTTTGGGTGGGAGGCTGAGGCTGGATCATCTGAGGTCAGGAGTTTGAGACCAGCCTGGCCAACATGATGAAATCCTGTCTCTACTAAAAATGCAAAAATTAGCCAGATGTGTTGGCAAGCACCTGTAATCTCAGCTACTTGGGAGGCTGAGGCAGGAGAATCGCTTGAACATGGGAGGCAGAGGATGCAGTGAGCCAAGATGGCACCACTGAACTCCATCCTGGGTGACAGAGCAAGACTCTGTATCAAAACAAAACAAAACTACTGGGATAGGTTAGTTAGCCTAGGCTTGCAGGGAGACAACTTGGGCGACATGGACTGCTAATGAATATGAGGTTTCTTTTTGGATTGATGAAAATGCTTCAAAATGGATTGTGGTGATGGTTGCACAACTCTATAAATATACTAAAACCATTGACTTGTGCTCTTTAAATTGGTGAATTGTGTGCTATGTGAATCATATCTCAGTAAACCTGCTTAAAAAGTCAACTGGGGAAGCCAGCAGCAGGAAGGGTGTACCTGGCAATGAAACAGCACATGCAAAGGCTCAGTGCCATGAACAAAAAAGGAAGAGATTTTCTAGGTCTGGAACCTCCTGGGAAGTGGAGAGCAGTAAAACAGAGGAAAGTGAAGAGGCTAGAGAGGGAAGTGGGGCCTGCACAGGTTGGTCCTTGAAGTCCCATAAATAATAACAGCAGTTACCACTTAGGAAGGCCTTGTCATATGCCTAGTGCTGTTCCAAGCTGTTTTCATGCATTCCCTCATTAATTCTCACAACAACCTTATAAGGAGGTACTATTGTTATTGGCATCTTGTAAGTGGGAAAATCAAAGCACAAAATGTGAAGTAGCCTGCCCATAGTCAAAGATCTAGCAAGTGGCGTGGCGGAGATATGAGCCTATATTAGTCTGCTTTTACCCTGCTGGTAAAGACATACCTGAGACTGGGAAGAAAAAGAGGTTTAATTGGACTTACAGTTCCAATGGCTGGAGAAGCCTCAGAATCATGGCGGGAGGCATGAAGCACTTCTCACATGGTGGTGGCAAGAAAATGAGGAGGAAGCAAAAGTGGAAGCCTGCGATAAACCCATCAGATCTCATGAGACTTACTCACTATCACGAGAATAGCATGGGAAAGACCAGCCCCCTATGATTCAATTACCTCCCTCTAGGTCCCTCCCAGAACACATGGGAATACTGGGAGATAAAATTTAAGTTGAAATTTGGGTGGGGACACAGCCAAACCATATTATTTCACCCTGTCTCCTCCAAGTCTCATATCCTCACATTTAAAAACCAATCATACCTTCCCAACAGTTTCCCAAAGTCTTAACTCATTTCAACATTAACCCAAAAGTCCACAGTCCAAAGTCTCATCTGAGACAAGCCAAGTCCCTCCTGCCTATGAGCCTGTAAGATCAAAAGCACGCTAGTTACTTCCTAGATACAATGGGAGTATACATATTGGGTAAATACAGCCATTCCAAATGGGAGAAATTGGCCAAAACAAAGGAGTTACAGGGCCCACGCAAGTCCAAAATCCAGTGGGGCAGTCAAATCTTAAAGCTCCAAAACGATCTCCTTTGACTCCAGGTCTCACATCCAGATCATGCTGATGCAAGAGGTGTGTTTCCATGGTCTTGGGCAGCTCCACCCCCATGGCTTTGCAGGATACAGCCTCCCTCCTGTCTGCTTTCACGGGCTGGCATTGAGTGTCTGCGGCTTTTCCAGGCTCACAGTGCAAGCTCTTAGTGGATCTACCATTCTGGGGTCTGGAGGATGGTAGCCCTCTTCTCACAGCTCCACTAGGCAGTGCCCCAGTAGAGACTCTGTGTGGGCTCCAACCCCACATTTCCCTTCTGCACTGCCCTAGCAGAGGTTTTCCATGAGGACCCTGCCCCTGAAGCAAACTTGTCTGGACATCCAGGCATTTCCATACATCTTCTGAAATCGAGGTGGAGGTTCCGAAATCTCAGTTGTTGACTTCTATGTATCCGCAGGCTCAACACCTCATCGAAGCTACCAAGGCTTGGGGCTTCGACCCTCTGAAGCCATGGCCTAATCTGTACATTCGTCCCTTTCAGCCATGGCTGGAGCAGCTGGGACACAAGGCACCATGTCCCTAGGCTGCACACAGCATGAGGACCCTGTGCCTGGCCCATAACACCACTTTTTCCTCCTGGGTCTCTGGGCCTGTGATGGAAGGGG